GGGCTCAAGAGTCATCGTACCAACTCGAATCGGAGCATTACATGAATGCAACCACAGATGTAAGTCCGAGTTCTGAAGAATAAGTTATAAAATTTTTTTATGTTAATGTAAATATGTAATTAATTTTTTTAGGTGAGCGATATATAAGCTCCTTCGAGGGTTTCTTTACGGTTCTTTACCTCGTCGCTTTTTTTGAACCGTCAGGATATTAAATGTGGTTGTTCTTCAGTTAGTGTATTACTCATTTTCAATATTTAAATAACAACTACATTTTTAGATTTTTTATTTCATTCTTTCCTTAAACAATTGCAAATTTACAATTTTATACTTTAAAAATTTAAAAAAAAGCCAAAAAAAGGGGGGGGCCGAACCCGGCCGGTCCGGTACCGGAACCGCCGGTCCGGGAACCGGAACCGGTACCGGCCGGCACGGTGACGGTTCCGGTTACATGGGGTGGCGGTACCAGAACCGTCCCGGAACCGTACCGTGTCCACCCCTACCGACTGAGAAAAGAAAAAAAAAAGAAAAGATAAGGAATGGAGAGTTAGAGTAGTTAAGTCTTTTTACTATAAAAAAGTTTCTAAAAAAGGAAACGGGAAATTTTTGTGTGGACGATTGAAAAAAGGAAAGTGAGAAGTTCTTTATTGGATGGAGGGAGTATCAAATCAAGACAAAAATATAAAAAATGGTGTTAACTTTTTCAAGGATTTACCAATAATTACTATTTGATTAAATCACATAACTTTATTTAAAGCTATACACACCTAAATCTTAATTATTATTATTATTATTTCAATCAGATCAAATATAATCAAATCAGATCAAATACAATCAAATCTAGACCAATCAGAACAAATTCAATCAGATCAAATATAACTAAATCAGATCAAATTCAATCATATCCAATTAGAATTTCAAAAATTCAGATTAGATTTAATCACATCAGCAAATTACTTCCCTTAAACTTAAAAGTGAACAACAATTCAAATAGGATAAAGCTATTCGTACCCCAAATTTTTGTACCCCATTTTGTACACCGCAGGTTTGCACCGACATTTTGTGTTGGTGTAAAACTAATTTTTGTTAACGCACCAATACTTTGTGTCCGTGTAAATTTTTGTTAACACACCAAAACTTGTGTCGGTGTAAACCATCAAAATATTTGTGTATAACTGCAGTGTACAAATGGAGTACAATTTTTGTTGTAAATGTAGCATGCCCGTTCAAATATGGTCCCCACTGGTCTTCCGCTGCAAACGTCTAAAAGCCCATCCAACGGCCAACATGGACTCTGTTCAAATTTGAAAATCAACTCTTTTGCGCGCCTCAGTATAAAACATTCCTAAACTTTTCTCCTTCGAATTTATCCTAACTTCTTTTCATTTTAATTTTAACTAAGGTTTCAAATTTAGATCTATCCGCTGCAATTTAAAAACACTTCATGCGTTCTAAAATAATTTTCTCAGTTACTATTCATATAATTAAATTTGACTTTTTTCAGTTAACCATTGTTAACCTTTGACTTATAAGTAAATAAAATATATATTGTATATTAATTAGATAAAATGATATTTTGAAAATTTTTTATATAGTAAATCTAATAAAACTATTTTTATATCAATATTTAATATCATTTTTTCTTTAATTTGTAATCAAAATTTGTCAATTTTGACCGAGTAAGTCAAAAGTGGACAAATATTTCGAGACGGAAAGACTATATTCATATCACTTCTTGTTTTGTAAAAATTTTGATGTAAATTTAAAATATATAATTTTTATTTTTTTATTTTGCACCTATAATATCATAAATTGAATTGAAAATAATTTCAGTAAAATCCCGTAAATCAAACTGGAAAGATCATTTTAGAATGAAGGAGTATGATAGATAAAGTCTCTCTACCTCATTCTTTTGAATTACTTTTAAAATCACTATATTTAGTAAATAAATTAATGTGACGTAGAAAAAACATTCACCAAAAAAGTGTTAACATTTTATTAACCAATGAAAAATAACTTAATGATAAAGCCTTTTTAAATTTATGTTAGTTCCGAAAAATTGATGTATCTTGAACAACGCATAACTAAATGTTGAATTTGCACTAAAGAATATGAACAAAACATTTTTTAGGAAGCAAATCTCTTTTTGAAAGAAAAACAAGATTTATAGTAATGTTAGAGTCATAAACAAAACAATCACAAAATGCACAAACTTACCATTTGTGTATATAAGTTTTTAATTTTAATTATTTGAGACTATTATTTAGAATTATTATTTTATATCTTTGGTAAATTTATACAATTTGTAAATATTTTGTTTGTAACTTTAGCATTATTCCAAATTGTATACTTTAGGACATATACAATCAATGTAAAACTTACACACAAACTTATGCGTATAGACTAATTTAAAATTTGAATATATTACTCTGTAGTACTTCGTATGTAGTATGTATCTTATTTTAAATATTTTCTCCATCTAATAAAATTTCAAACAATTTAATTTTACAACATTTTAGAAAATTGTTAAAAAGTAAAATGTGTTTGACTATAATTTGTTGGGAATAGTTTTTTGCTTTTTGTTTATTTGAATCAATGGTTGACATTTTTTAATGGACAAATCAAAATAAAATCCTCATAAAAAAAAGTGGATTTCAAATTTTTCTACCCAATAAAACTAGCGTCTCTTTTATTGCCTCCAAAAGATTTTTTTAAAATTAATACTCCGAAATTATTTTCTATATACGGAGTTCATATATATAATCACATACATGCCAGAAGAACCGAGTTGCCATTGCCATATATACCAAGAATCTCTTTGCCATTCTTTCTTCTTCTTCTTTCTTGAAAATGGCGACGACGGCCCAATCTCGGCGCTCTTCGTCGGCTTCCAATGCTGCGGCCAAGAGGCAAGCGGCGGCGGCGGCGGAGAAGGAGAGCCGCCACGGGAAACCCGCGGCGGCCGCGGAGCACCGCCTGGCCCATAAGCGACCCGCCTTGTCCAACATCACCAACCAGGCTCCGCCGCGAGCCGCCTTTTCACAGTCGTCAGGCACTGTATGTTTTTTATCTCTCTCTCTCTTTCTCAAAGCTTTCGATTTGTGAATTCAAAAAGGGTTCTTTTTTTATGGGGCGATGGCTGTGAACTTGTGAAGTGTGTGGAAATGCATTCTTGAAGTTGAGAATTTGAGATGACGAATCCTGGGTGGAAATAGGATAATCTTTGAAGATCACTGAATTAAGGGGATTTATTTCAGATGATAAAGATTGTTTTATGAAGAAACTGAGTAAATCGAACTGATTTCTGAATTTCAAGAAACTTCCAAAAAAGGGTATTTCTTGATCTCGTCATGTTTTTTTATCTCTTCTTCGTGGGTGCCACTGTAACTGTGAAGTGATTGTGAAAACCCATTCTTGAAATGGGTAGGAATTGGGAAATTCTAAGATCACAAAATTAAGGGTATTTCTTTCAGATGATGAAGATTTTTTTTTCTTATTTAAAGAAATTGAATTAATCCATGCCACTGATTTCTGACTAGTCAAGAAAGTTCCAAAAAGGGTATTCGGAGGCGTTGTTTATTTCTAAATTATTCCATTGCATTTCATGGGTGATCTTCCACTGTCCCTTCATGATAATAATAATAAAAAAAAGATTAGAAAGAATGTTGATTTCCCTTTTCTGCAAAAGTATTAACTTTATTTTGAACATCAAAGGCACCCTGCACATCCAAGAGTGTCTGCATCAAGAAGGGCTCTTCAACTTTTACAGCCAATCCAGGATTCCATGGAGCTTCTTCCGTGGCTCCATCTTCTACCTTTGTTAAACCCAGCATTGTCCCCACTAAGGGCACATCTGCAATTGTTTGTGACCCAAACCTCACGAAGCCCACCTTGCCTCCTGTTCTGGTCAGCATCGACACCTCTCCTGCACAGTCAGATGAATCCATGTCTCCTTGTGACTCACTGAGAAGTCCAGATGTTGAGTATCTTGATGACAATGAAGCTGCAGGGATACACTCCATTGAGAAGAAGACATCATCTGCACTCTTCATTTCAAAGCCAGAAGAGTCTGCAGGTAAATATATATGCATTGTGCCTTTAAGGTTCATATCTGTGTTCTTTTATCCTCTCATTGATCTTATATGGATCGTCTGAAGCTTGATGGTTTCTTCTTGCAGGACGCTTGTTATGCAAGAGAGACATAATTGCAGATATAGAATCAAGGGATGATGGAATTCGCGACATCGATGACAATCTTGATGACCCTCAACTCTGTGCTTCCATTGCCTGTGATATCTACAAGCACTTGCGAGCATCTGAGGTTCATAACCCAGCTCTTCTTATTACACAAAATCACGCAAACTCTAACCTTTTGAATTTGGATTGCTTCATTTGTGCAAAGTGTTCATAATATTTTTTTGCTCATATAATCAGTCCAAGAAAAGACCGTCCACAGATTTTATGGAGAAGGTTCAGAAAGACATCAATGCCAGCATGCGAGCAATCTTGATCGATTGGTTGGTTGAGGTAAAAGCTCCTTCTCCCTCCACATGATCAGTCACTTCCAGTCTTCTTAGTCATTCACTGCCAGTTATAGGTCTGGGTTTTAAAAGTTATCTATGAACTCTTGCCCTTATAGGTTGCTGAGGAGTACCGGCTTGTCCCGGACACGTTATACCTGACCGTGAACTACATTGACCGCTATCTTTCCGGTAATCCAATGGACAGGCAGCGGTTGCAACTGTTGGGTGTCGCTTGCATGATGATTGCATCGTATGTTTTCTTAACATAAAATTGTGATTGTATTGTCTATGTTAAGCTTTCTTATGTATTGTTGTTAAGCCTTCTTTTTCCTGTTGCAGTAAATATGAAGAGATATGTGCTCCTCAGGTGGAGGAGTTCTGCTACATCACTGACAACACATACTTCAAAGAGGAGGTGTGAACCATTTCCTTTTGGTGTTTCTATAGCCATTGGTTGTACAAATTATAACTCATGCAACTGAATTTGTTTTTTGCAGGTCTTGCAAATGGAATCTGCTGTTTTAGGCTACCTGAAATTTGAAATGACAGCCCCCACAACAAAATGCTTCTTGAGGTAATTGTCTAGTGTTCCATAGATTGTGGGTAAATTCAATAATTTGAGATTTGTTGTACCCACTAACACATCTCCAAAATCAATTGAATCAAATTGCAGGAGGTTCGTTCGTGCCACTCAAGGATCCAATGAGGTATTTCCTTGGTTTTTTTACTAATTAAATAAAGTTGTTTGAAAAGATTTGTTCCAAACAGAAAAGATTCTAACTTGATCAAAATGTGTTAAATTTAGCTTAAGGGGATCAAATAAGTTAGAAAAAAATGTGGCTATATTTGATAAACCTGCTGCCATTTCCACTTCAGGCATTGTCACTGCAGTTGGATCACTTGGCCAGCTACCTTGCCGAGCTATCTCTCCTAGCGTACGACATGCTTCGTTATGCGCCATCGCTCATTGCCGCTTCGGCTATTTTTCTTGCCAGATTCATGCTCTTCCCTTCCAAGAATCCCTGGGTATGTGTGTGCCATTTCACTCTTGTTACTACTTAGTTCTTCACTGTAAATCATGATAAATGATGATAAATATATCTAATTGGGGGGATTTTGTTAAAACATTAAAAAATTCAGAATTCTACGCTGAGGCACTACACCCGCTACCAGCCTTCCGATTTGCGCAACTGTGTGATGGCCCTCCACAGCCTATGCTGCAACAGCCACCACTCCAGCAGTTTGCCTGCCATCAGGGAAAAATACAGCCAGCACAAGGTATAATAAAGGCCTTCTGTTTTTACGTGATATTCAAATAATGTAATTCAACATGAAAAATGATTATGAGTATGAAATTGCAGTATAAATTTGCGGCGAAGAAGTTCTGCCCTTCTTTGATTCCGTGCGAGTTCTTCCAGGACGACAACACAAGTAGCAGCAGCTGATTGAGGAGATCATAAGAGAGTTTCTTGTGGTTAGTAGTTAGGCAGAGTTGATGATGTATATCCATGAAATGAGCTTGATGTGCTGTGGGTAAAAATTGGTATATCTTGAAATGAGCTTGCAGCACATTTCCAGTTTTGCCCTTTTCAGCACCACCCTTTTGTATAGAGAAACTCAGGTGTAGTTTGAGACTTTGAGCTAGTTGCAGTGTCAAAGCAACTCAGGCGATTTCGTCGTCAATGTAGAGTAAAAAACCAATCCTTTTGTGTTCGTTTCCGTCGCGATGTTGTAAGAAAACACAAGGAAGATGGTGTTACCTCATGCTTTGCTCCTTACATCTCTCATCACATTCTTCCTCATGGTTATTTCTTAAACCAAAGGCTCTCCCATATAAATCTATAGCAATCCTACAAAGTTTGTACCTTTTTACTGAAATTCTCACTAAAATGAAAGTGGGTTATGACTTGTAACTCAAAAATGGTAAATTGGATTGAACCATACCCATTAATTAATTTCACATTCTTCAGTGAGAGGGACAGCTTTCATAGCTTTGAGAAACCTGGTTCCAATTGTGATTTCCCTTCACATTTTAATGAAGAAATACCTGCAATGTGTTTGTGGCAGGTGGTGGTATATGATTAGAGCAATGCTAAGGGTACACCAAAAGATGTACCCATTTGTCCCCCACCCCCTTCTCCACCACCCATTTTTATCTACTTTTTATTTATTTAATTTTTTTTAAAGTTCTTGCCCATTCATGTGATTATCTTGTTGGAAAATTTGGGACAAATTGACATTTAAACTGTTATTTTTGGACTTTATTATCAATGGGGTTCACTAAGGAATAGTTCCCTTTTTGCTACTCTAGAAACTAACACTTAAAATAACTTCTCCAAAGAAATAAACATTAATCTTTCAACTTGACTGAGGGAAAATTTTCATTGTAGGATGATGGGGGTGTTTACCGGGGGTGCAATTGAAAGGGGTGGGGGGTGTGTGTTCGGGTCGGGGTGGAGTGAGGGTGCTTACCGGGGGGTTAGAAAGGGTAGGAACCTCTAATTTTACGAACGGGGCACCGAAGCGCCCCCGGGTCATACCATGACATTGGTTCCCAATGTCATGAGAATCTTGGTGTTATGAAATCTAGACACCAATGTATATACCCGTAGTATTTTGAAACATTCTAATTTGAGCATTTTTTTGCATTTCTTGATTGTTATTCTTAGATTTTTCCGATTTTCAAGCATAATGTTATAATCTTGAGAAAGGAAAGACTATTTCAGTCTCTTCCATTGATCTTGGAGTGTTTATATACATATTTCACTCACTTTGGAAATTCTCGAAACACAATTCTTCTCCTGCCGGCTTTGAGCAATTAGACTTTTATTCTTTGGTTATGTCTTGTCTAATCCCACTTATAGTTCATATCCTTTAAAAAATGGGGTATGTTCCTCACTGCCAATTGCCAAAGCACTCACTCCACATTTGTACATAATATATTCATCAAATGTAATGAATAATGAAATATGTTCCTTTTTTGGTAAATTTATCTAAAGTGACAAACATGAATGGAGTAATAGTTCTTTTTTTCTTATTTCCTCGAAGATTTAATCTACTTTCTTTATAGTGAAATTAGTAAGTGATTAATATTGTATTTTATCGTGTAATAGAAAAGATATTTTTTCGATATAGTGATGTCAATTACGGAGTATATACTAGTATTCAATTATAGTACATCAAAACATATACTCCCTCCGACTCTAAATAAACTTCCCCTTTTGACTTTTTGATGATTTAAGGGAAATATATTTTTGTGTTGACTTTCCAAAAATATTCTTGATGTGATGTGTAAAAGTAAGACGTGATATGTAGATTATTAACAAAAAAGTATGATGTGATAGATAGGATATGAAAAAGTAAGGGTTTTTTAAGAGAAAAGAGAAGTGTATTTGGGGACAAAGAAAAAACGAAAGGAGAAGTTTATTTAGGGACGGATGGAGTATATATTATATTATTTTCTCAACTTATCATTGAAAAATAATACCAAAACACTAGAGTTGCCGACAAATGAACCCTTACTTATTTCATGGGGAACTAATGTTTTTTCTTCTTCACTCATTTCCAATGAATAATTTCTCTTTTTCCTGTGATTAATCACTAAGTAAATTCTTCCATGGACTTAAGGTCTATGTTCATTTTATGGACTTTGGTCAATTGCATGATTAAAGAAGTTGGCCTATTACAAAAAAATATTATATGCAAATCCATTAAAATGTGCAGAGACCCACTATATTAGCATCACTCTAATCACTAATAGCCTTTAATTGATAATACCTCCATCCCATATCATTCTTTATTTTTTGACTTTTGTGGTTCGTATGTGTGTGTGTAAGTAAGTGGTCAAAGAAATCTAAATAAGACTAAAACATAGAAAATATACCTAAATATAAGTCCAAAATATAAATTCCCCAAATTGGAGTAATTTTGCATTGATATCCCCAAAATATCCCCCAACATCTACGCCACACACATAATATTTTTCTTGTTAATCGCGCTACATGTCCACGAGACCACAAATACTTGAACCATATGTCCACATCTCATAGAACTGAATTTTCACATAACTGAATCACACATGTCTACAAGACCACAAGTCTTTGGACCATATAACACTACAATCAAGGACTTGATTTTGAAACAGAAATTTTCACTGTAATTTAAAGGATTAACATAGCAGCGCCGTGGACAGCCCATAAGACGCTGGATCCGCCACCACCAACGTCGCCATCTTTCTTGTCGAGGTGGAAGAGCAAGAAAACCGGTACTTGTTATTGTTGTAATTGAGCAGAGAGTGGTTGTTGATCACTTGATGCCTGAGGATGGGGAAAAGTTGAAATTGGGCAAATTTTAGGCGTTGGATCATGAGAATGGGGATTCGTTTGACTACATGAAGTTTTAAGTATTAAAATTTTCCAAAAAAAAGCAGGGAGGGCAAAATCGGCAAAGAAAAAAAGAAGGTAGCGGGAGGAGTCCTATTTAGATAATAAAAAAATTTAAACTCCTATCTTAGGGATTAACATAATGTTTTATTCCTATTATGGATGATTTCTAAAGTCGTATTTATGTTTCAATAATTTTATTACGTAAACATAATTTATTTTATCATAAGAGATAAAAAATCAATGAATGTATTGGTGCATCAATTTTTTAATTACGTTGATTGTTTTTTATGAATAAAAAAATTCAACGTTTCCAATTATTATTGAATAGTTTATCATTATTACTCTCTCCGTCCTAATTTATAATGTCTGTTTCGGTTTATGATATTTGACTGAAACTATTTTCAAATTATTCTCTTTGACAAATGGTATAGAGTAAAAAAAATAAAAATTACATATTAAAATACTGCATCAAATGATCTACAAAACTAGCAGTGACAATAATACTTTATTTTATCAAATTGCTAACGAAAATAGAAAAAGAAAGTGGATAAAGTTTGACCCTGTGAATAGTAAACATGCATTATAATTTGGGATGAAAAAAGTATGACATGGTACCATCTCATTACTGAATGAAATGGTACACAACGAGTTTATGTGTTAAAATGTCATTTGAATAGTAACAGTATGGTATGAGTTTTTTGAAAATATCGAACCATCACAAACTATGCTCATCCCTAAAAACATTGTATATGATAAATTTGAATTAATAAGTTTTTGAAGGAGAATTTGCCTATATAATACTACTACTAAAACATAGTAAGTTTACTAATATAGTATCATATGTTTCAATTTTCCAATATATTACCATTGTTTAATGTTTATTAGACATTGTTTAAAAAATGTCAATTTGCTATTGGACATTGTTCAAGTAAATGTTTATCGTCCCCAAACGTCATATTGTTCTTATTACTGGATTTTGTTCAAATATTATTTAGAGAATATAAAATATTAGGTACTACATTGAAAAATATATATATTAGAATAAATTTCACCTATTGAAAAGGTAATTATCATTTTACAAAATGAATAAAAGAAAAGGGAGAAAGTAATTGAAATAGAGAATTACAAAAGAAGTAATTATTCAATTGTTTTGAAAATTGGATTTTTTTCCTTTAATTTTTCTGAGAGGCAAAATTTCTTTATTTCTTTTCTTGCCACTTCACATATTAGGCCATGTTTTTCTAACTTATTTTTTTTACTCCTTAGGGGCCAATTTAAATCATTTATTTTGATTTACGATGCTTGATTGAAGCTATTTTCAAATCATTTTATATAAAAAATATGTAGAATTTAAAAATAAAATTATATTTTAAAAACTACATCAAACGATCTAAAAAAGTAATGGTGACATGATTATATTATTTTATCAAATAAGTAACAAAAATAAGAAAAGAAAATGAATAAAATTTGAAAATGTAAATACTCCGTAGTAAACAAGTAATTTACTTTGGGACGGAGAGTGTATTACATTTTCCTATTGGAATCAGATCAGAAATAATTTTAAATATTACTATATTAGATCCGATCAAATCAGACCAGATTCGAACTTGTACAATCAGATTAAAATTATTCAGGCCAGGTAAAGAAAACACAGCTTTAGTTGTCAAAAAGTGACATCTCAGCTCCGCCAAATGTCGCGACTCAGCTTCTCCAAATGTTGTATTCTTGCTCTTTGTAGTTTGCAAATGCTTTTTGAGATTTCAGTCTTTCAATATGTCTCAAAATACGGTGGGGTTCTAGTGACACCGGAGTACGGTGCCACTCCGGTGCCACTGGCATTTTGGGGCACCTCCGGTGCTCCGTTCGCAAAATTGACGGTTCCTACCCCCCTTAACCCACCCCCTAAACCCCCCACCCTACCCCCGCCCCTGCACCCCCACCCCCACCCCGCCGTAAGCACCCACAAAATGTGTGGCTATTATGCGTTGCATAATAGCCATACATTTTGTGGGGGGCTTACTGCGGGGTGGGGGTGGCGCATAATAGCCACACATTTTGTGGGGGCTTACGGCGGGGTGGGGGTGGGGGTGCAGGGGCGGGGGTAGGGTGGGGGGTTTAGGAGGTGGGTTAAGGGGATAGGAACCGTCAATTTTGCAAACGGAGCACCGGAGGTGCCCCAAAATGCCAGTGGCACCGCTAGTGGCACCGTACTCCGGTGTCACTAGAACCCCACCACTCAAAATAATGTTTCTATTTGGTTTATCTCTTACAATTTTTGAAAACATTTTGATCGTTAACATTTATATTTATACAATATACACTCTCTCTGTTTTTGTGTATTTGTTCAATCTGATTTTTTTTGACTTTT